TATGCTACGCACTTGTACGACGAAGACAACACATGCGGGTGTGGCGTCCTCTTAAGTATCGAGACCCTAAACTTAAGACACGTTTGCAATTGGCTGAAGCATACATGCATAATCATAAACAATCATTGCTCAAATTAAATAAAATCACTACTACTTTCATTGAATCGCAAATACACACTCAATCTAAAAAAGCACGAGGGAGAAGATTTACATTTAATGATGTATTTGCACTATCAGTATTCAAACAAAGTGGCAAAGCTTATCGATTCCTTCAAAAAGTATTTGCTTTACCATCTAAAAAATCATTAATGACTTTACTGCAAAAAATTCCATTTCACACAGGAATAAACAAAAAAAATATTTGAACACCACAAAATAACAGTTGGTAAAATAAAAAATCCATTAGACAAATACTGCACTATTTTATTTTATGAGGTATCGCTATCTCCTGGTTTACAATATATACCTCACAAAGATAAAGTGTTAGGCTTTGAAGACCTTGGATGCAAAAGAATAAAACCAATTTTTGCTGATAAAGCAATGACATTCATGGTAAGAGGGGTTCATACAAAATTTAAACAACCTGTGGCATTTATGTTTACAAACAGTACCATAAAAACTCCAGAACTTGTAGTTTMTATAAAAGAAGTAGTTGAAGCAGTCCAATCTACTAGTCTTAAAGTAATTGCATTGGTTTGTGATCAAGCAAGTACAAATGTAGCTGCAATAAATAAGCTTAGAGCAGAAACCAATGCTAAATATTTATGACTTGGTCAGGAAAATCAGCTTTTTGGAGATGAGATTAATAATCAGGAAATTATACCGCTATTTGACCCACCACACCTATTAAAATGTCTTCGTAATAATCTTCTGACAAAAAATTTAAAGTTCATTTGTAAAGACAAAATTCAGCGAGTAGCAAAATGGTCACACATATTCAGCTTTGTGAACTGGACAAAAGTGAATCGGTTGTTGGTGATCRTATGATTCCCAAATTATCTGATGCTCACATTTATGAGGAAAAAWTGAAAAAAATGAAGATTTCACACGCTGCGCATGTATTCAGCCAGCGAGTTGGTTCAATTATCAAATTTTTAGCTTCATTGCCAGGTAAGTTTACAATTAACAAAAAAAAATTAAAAAATTAAATTATTATTAGTATTTATTTTTATAGGAAGTTCATCCAAATGTCAACTTGACTCATCTGCCATAGATACTGCAGTATTATGTCTTTTTGTGGACAAGCTGTTTGACAGCGTGAATGGTGGTACAATATCACCACCAATTGGTAAAGATCTGAGATGTGCTGTCCTCTGCTCATTGGACATTTTGGGACGAAGCTATTTGTGTACTGCAAAGTATGAAATTTGTGTGCAAGCAAAATAAAGTAGTATCAATAAAAAATTGGATACTAACTTTAAAAGGCCTTAAATATCTTTGTAAGAAATTGTTAAACGATGGATTTGATTTTATATTACTTAGAAATTTTAATCAAGACCCCTTAGAAAATTTCTTTTGTTCCATTAGAAACCACGCCATTAGAAATATAAACCCAACTTGCGCTGGTTTTATATYCTCTTTCAAATCCCTTTTAATATCAAACTTAACTACAACAAATTCGGTGGGAGCAAATTGTGAAGAAGATAATTGTGACAGAGTTTTAGGCAGTTTAAAAGATTTATTATTATTAGACGAGGAGGAAATTGTTGAAGAATCAGTRGAACATATTTCAAAACTGTCTCACAATTTAAATGTTACATATCCCCAGACTCTAAATTTACCATCTTTGTTTGTTTCAAATAATACCAGATCGTTTGTTGCTGGTTGGATTATAAAAAAMATTAAACCATTTGTCAATAATTGTAAACTGTGTAAAACTAAATTAACGTCTAATATATTTTTGAATGAGCATAACTTTATTAAAATCCGTGAATATGAAAAAATTAATTTAAATTATCCAACAACTGAAGCTTCTAATTTATATGGCCTAGCTATACATTTATTCAATACATTTATTTCAGATTTTATTGAAAAACCAAATGTAAAAAAAAATATGATTTCGATTATGAAAAATTATATTAATTTAGAATTATTATCCTGTCCTAAACATGACTTGCAATATATTTTTTTAAATACATCTATTAGATTACTAATATTTTCATTCATTACAGGTATTAACTTAATTTTAAATAAAGGCGAAAAAAATCAATAAATACTTYTAATCAAATTAAGATAGCTGCTTTAAGATATCATAAAACATATATAAACTCAGAACTAAAAAAATTTGTTCCATTAAATTAGGGACCTCTTAGTAAATATAAAGTTAGCTGCTTACATTTGCTGTATTATTATTATAATGTTTTATTAATATTTAATTTTTGTATTGTAATGTATATTATAAATGTGTTCTATAGTTTTTTTTTTAACTGCACTTATTTAATATTAGTTAATTAACTTATTAATTAGGGGCATATTGTTTTACTTTGTTACAGTTATATAAAAATTGATATGTGTAATTTTAAATTTATTATATTCTGTATATTTCAATGTTTTGTATAAAATATATTTCAAGTTATCAAAGTTTAAACCAACTTAATTGTAAATGTTTTATTTAATTAGCATTTAATTATTACTAAAAACAAGTATTTAAAATAATCGATTATTATAAACTATTGATAAAATCTAGTAATAATCGATTAATGTCAACCATAGACTTCTATACTTACTACATAAGTAACTCTTATAATATTTACATTGTTATCRGTGAATCTCGCACGGGGATGACCGCCATCTTTTCAGTTGGCAAATACAAAATGTATAAGGAATTAATGAAATTATAAATTTTTTTAAAGGTGATATATAACAATAATGACAAAATGATCTATATAAAATAATTTTTTTTTGTTACAAACAACAAGTCTAGAAAYAATAAAATACAATACAACATCAATTAATATTTACCATAAATACATATATAATATTGCATACTATTTGCCAACCGAGAAAATGGCGGARCCCGGCTTCAACTAATGCACGGAGTTACTTATCTAGTTATTATAGAAGTCTGTGATGTCAACTATCGATAGTTTAGTTATTACGATAACCACCGGGAATGCTCAARTCACTAACTCAATGCTGCTTATCAGAGTGCGCTTTCTTTTTATTATTTTTTCTATAATGACCACCCTCACCAWACCAAAAACCCCACCACGTAGACTAAAGCGCAAATGGTGACCTATTAAATTGGTAAAAGAGGTGTTACCATTGGGTATCTTCCTCATCATGTTATTCATGTCACTTTTTTCTATATTAATACATCAAATTTGATCATTGTAATTATTGTATACAGTTGTAAATTTTCTTTCTTAATAAAAATAAAATAAAATGTTTAAAAAATTTAATATTTAAATTCTTTTTTATTTCTCATTTACTTGTACATTTTTAAAATTATAGTATTGATTTCAATTTATTTTTATTCGTGTTCCACTATATTGGTTTTAAACGTACCACAGAAACAATGTTATCGTTATAACTATCATTCACCACCGAACAATGTGGGTATGAAAATTTGGCAATTTATATTTATTTATAGAAAAATTAATTAAGATTGGTATAAATGACAACATTTTGAATTTTACAAAGTATATGACGTATTAACTACACTGAGTGTTATATATATAAAATATATATCTTATTATTTCAACATTTGTTTATGTTTTTTTTTTTTTTTGTATTATGCATATTTATTTCACTTAAAATAGTGAATATAAATGCATATTTCTGAATWTTTTAGAGCATATTTCAATAAATTTTTTGCCAATTTTTAGTGCATGAAGTTACGAGCCCTGGTCATTGAATACGATAAACAATTCAGAGCGAAAACATTCTGCAGCCTATAACATTACTAAATGATATAATTATTATTAAAAGTTATTTATTTTACTATTAGCCTATATTGTATATAATATAATAAAGTTCTTAAAAAATCTCAAGTATCCCTTAATAATATTTTTAAATTACAACAAAATAACTCAAATTGTTATTCAACGTTTWAAAATATTATTTCATTAAAATTTGAACTTAAATGTCATTATACTTAATACTATACTATACATTTCCGATCTAGTTATTATTCTTTGTTACTAGAATAGTTCTTGAGTTATGTTACAAACCTTATAGAATATAGATAGTATGGCTGGTAAAAACTAGAAAATTTAAGTAAGCAATTGGCACAATCAGGAGTACCAATATCTGATTCAATGGTGATGACAAAGGTTTTAATGACATTACCAGACCCTTTTAAACATTTCATTAATGTATGGGATCAAGTGAAAATAAGATTTTATCAAACTTGATATTTTGACTTATGGTTGAAGGTTGAAGAAGCCAGATTATATCAAGGATCTCGTTCTCAAGGGGAAATGGATACTAACAGTAGCACTAGTAACGGAATGGACTTAGAAAATAATTTTTCAAAAAAAKGGTGAAAGAGTATCCAAACAAAAATGAAAATACAAAGCTAGGAAAATGCAATCACTGTAAAAAAAAGCCAGGGCATTGGAAATGAGACAGTAGGATATTTAATAAACAATAGGAACAAAAAATTCAACTTCTGGTTTGACGCTCATTGGTGTACACAGAAAAATTGAAGAAATCAACAACTCAGACAAAAGGTATGTAGACTCAGGTGCGAGCAACCACATAACAAATCGAAAAGAGTGGTTTGTTATTTATAAAAATGTTGATGTGCATTCATTAGTATGTATTGGAAATGGTTAGCATACTATGGTGRTCAGAAAAGGTTTTATAAATATTTATATTTATACTGACAATAAGTGAGTAAAAGAATACTAAGAAAATATTTTAAAATTTGTACCTGATCTAAACATAAATTTATTTTCTTTTGGGGCCTTGATAAAGGATTTATAATGGTGGCAGACAGTAAAAGTTGTACATTTAATATTGATGATCATACTATTGCAGTCGGTGTTCATGAGAATTAATTAATTTTGATGCTAATCAAAACAAATATTTCACAATTGGGCATTATGCAAACATTGCAACTAAGAAATTTACATTAGAACACTGGCATAAAATACTATGTCATCAGTATGTCAAACATGTTAGTGAGTATTTAAAATACAATAAATTAAAATGCACAGACATACTATTATTGGCACGTATTATTGGTTCACCATTCCTGATCTACGTCAAGAAATTTTCAAAATTTCTTTAGTCAGAAGCAGTCAATACAGTAGTGTTTTCATTAATTATACTGGTAATTCAGGCAAGTGAGTAAAACACCATACGAGTTAGGGATAATGCATATAGTTCCAATACAAATACGAAGCAATAGTATGCAAGAAGTCGAAAAGGATACTTTGTCGGATATTCAGATACTTCAAAAGGGTACTATAATATTTAGTATAAAGAAAATAAAGAGGTGTCACTAAATAGACATGGTAATTTTCAAATATGAAATACCTGTTTACATACATACTACTAACATAACAACAAATGTTATATACCTAATAAAATTTAAAACAAAAACATAAGAATTACCAAATTGGTATGTTACATAAAGTCACAAAATATTAACTCACTTTAAATTACTTAAATTGCTATACACACATGTATTCAATCTATGAAATCTACTTTTCATTTCATGCAGATAGGTATCATATTATAACATGTAGGTAGCTTTTCGTATGGTTAAATGCACTGCTATAAAATCTGTAAAATAATACAAGTCAATAATTGCAACTGAGTAGGCAATAAAACATCACAACATGACATTGGTGAATTTTTTACCAATTTCTCATGAATTAACCATAAAAAAAATGTATTACCAATACATCTGATGTAAGATTTCGTAAAACAGGACATTAGCTGAAATAAATGTTGTTTCTCACAAATAACTAAAATAAAACATAGTACACTATTGAAACTTGAAACATTGACTATCTATCTTATAAGTATTTATATTGTTTATTTTATACTACATTACATTATTATAATAGATTATACAGTAGAATCTCATTAATCCAGACTTTGCTTAATCTGGACAGCTGTCTAATATTACGAAAAATAAGCAGTTAGACTAAAATAAACATAAAAGCGAGTCCCATAAGTACATATATTCTTAACTACCGTCATTAAAGTTATCATAATCTGTTAGTAATTTATATTTGGGTCATTATTATATATGTAATTCTATCCATATAACTCACATTATCCATTAGTTAGTCATATTYGATTCGCTAGTCGATCGCCTGATACGCTTTAGAGCAGCGGTTCCCAACCTGTGTACCGCAATGCCCTGAGGGCACCGTGAGCTCATTTAAGGGGTGCCACGGATCATCCGAGAATGAAAAAAATTATTAATTAAAAATTAAAAATTTATTGTACCTAGTTGAAAAAACAAAAAATTATTTTACGTACAAAATCACTTAGAATACTATCTGTATATCCAATATTAAATATAGTGTTTCTAATATGTGTTGAATAATTCAATAATAGATAAAAACAGATAAAAACATTGCCAAACTTTCCAAAAATAAGCAGCCTCAAATATCTCATTATTAGTTTTTCACTATTAAAACAAAAAATTTTTTTTTTAATTCAACAATAAAATTATAATTTATTAATAATATGTTCAATGAAATTATTTAAATCAGTTATGAATGAAAACTAGTGTTTATTTCTATCATGTTTCTCGTGATATTCACAGAAGGGCACCTAACAAAATTTGTACAAACAATAGGGCACCGCCTGATAAAAAGGTTGGAAACCGCTGCTTTAGAGTGTTTTATGTGTCATATGTTATTAGTTTTATAAATTGTAGTCGTTATTTTTGTATCACTGTGATGTCTTTAAGCAAACCTAGTCAATTGTAAAAAGCGAAAAAATGTCTCTTTCTCTTAACGATAAACTAATGAAAGTGTGACTTAGTACCTATATAATAATTATGATTATATGCATTATGTTGATATGTAAGTTTTTTAATGTGTTAAGTTTTTGCTGGACCTAATATTATGTAGCAATATATCATACATAGTAATTAATATAATATAATATTCTTAAATCTATAATATGAACATGTTTATTGGTTATTTTGTTTAATCCAGATTTTCATTAAATCGGACAACCTAAAGCGGCTAGAGCAGTAGAGCCCCTATGAGTCCGGTTTAATGAGGTTCTACTGTACTACTATAAATTATGATACCACAAAATTGTATTCTCATACCTTTAGTGGTTATAGACTTATAGTATGTATCCCGTGAATTGGCTATTGTACTACCACAGCAACAAGACCTGTTGCACACCGCTCATGTAAACGCGATCTGGTATTTTAATAGTAAAAAGATTGTAAATCGAACTACGGTGGCGGCCACAATCTGTTGACAGAAGAGAGTTTCATGGAATCTGGAACGTCCTGAGTCTCCAACGATCAAAAGAGCGATTCAGGCAATTCACAGTTCATTCAATCATTGTTCAACTACAGAAAAGCATGAGGTGATAACCGAAATTTAAACGGTGTGCGGACYGTGGCACTGTGCGCCGTGCGGTAGAAATATTGTAATAAAAAAATCGATTTTTTTTTAATTTGAAAAATCGATCTCTGATGAACCGAATATTTTAATAAATCGATTCAATTTTAGTGAAAATCAATGGTTGTTTTTTTAGGTAAGGATTTTCCACGTAGATCGCCGACTTCTGAGAGCCGGAAGTGCATTTTAAAATGACAGATGATTAGAAGATATAAGTCGGTCATTGTTCAGTGTTTATTGTCATATCGATAATTATGTATTTACTGATTTTGATAATAAATAATAATATATTATCACAATTACTTACTGGTGCAACTGGTGCAAGTGTTGATGAAACATAAAATCTATACTTATCACTGATATATTAAGATAATAAAATATTTAATGGGTATAAATTGTAGGGCTTATCATGATAATGATAAGTGCCCGAGTTCCAAGAGCTTGTGCGATACTGCGATCAGTGCGATCATCATTGCACTGGGTGCAAAAAATTGGCGAAGTGCATTGATGTGAAACATAGAAAAGTCCACTCAATGCACATTTATCTTGCGGATGGAACACAAAAATATGCACTAGTGCAGTCAGTGCAGACAGTGCAGTGTCGTGGAAAACGCTATAAGTATATTGTGGCATAGACTTGATAACAGTGACATCACGTTATTATTATCTGAACGCATGAAGTATGTTTATTGATGGCCCCAAAACTGTCAGAAATTTATCCATTTTTCATAAAAACTAATTTAAGAAATTTGCTATCTCACAATAATATTGGATTTTAAATAACTTGCAAAATAAATGTATATTATATACATTGCGTGGCGCGGTAAATTGTGATACTAATAATAGGTAGTTATAAAATAATGCAGCGATATTGGCATTGGAACTTGGAAATGTCAACTAGTGTTCAACTTTTTTTTATTACTGGAGCTATGTAGATGTTGACTATTACTTTTATAATTATAATCCATTGTATTTTACCCTCTGTAAAATAAGTTTTTGGTAGAATAACGGAATTATATAGAATATTGAAGGGATAATGATTAACGATATGTTATGACTTATGACGAAGTACATCATTTAATAAATCAATTAAATTATAATATATAAATCTTGAAAGYGCATTAGCAGCACTATAATTATTTACTTTTAGACCGTAATAATTGTCTCTGAGTAACGATAACTATGTGTTATCAATGAATAATTTTTTAATGTACGGAACTGGTAAGTTACACAATAATKGTGCCAAACTGCTGACGAAAAGATATTATATTTGTGAAAATGACTACAGAGCATGGCGTATAAAGATAGATCAGCATCAGCATAGAAATAGAAGTTAAGGCTACTAACGACTGTAGGCACGTCTGTACATTCCACCTGTCACTCCTGATAAGGTGGTGGTAACGACATGACTGCATATTATATTGCCTATGTATAACTCAACAGGGGTTATAAATACAAATTTTTTCGGACACAGTTTAAGAAGAATATATATTATTATAAATAATACATTTTTTTTTTTCATTTTTCCCATTGAATAACGGCAATCTGCATTTATCCTCATCCATTTCAAAAATTAAATCTTAACAACAACCAAGTCCGTGGTTTTTTTTACACATAAAATAGAGTGACTGGGACGATAACCTATTGAATTTCAAAAAGAAAAACCACTTTCCTTTTATTATAGCTACAATGGAATATGTTTATTATACTCATAATTCATAACAAAATTAAATAGTTGATTTTATACATAAAGAACAAAACAAGAAAGAAACCATGGAACCGCACAAATATGTCGGAACTACAGTACAGAAAAAGGCAGAATTTAGCATAATAATTGGAAAAAAGTACATGTAATGATGCTAAGGAACTGCTTCTAAATTCAAAAATTATTCTGGTAACGGTAAGTATAGTTCAATTCTCATAAACACATGAATAATAATAAATATTATTGTATTTYGGGTTAATAAATTATGCACAGTCAAGTTTAAATGTATAACCTCAACTGGTTGTTCATTACAAGCAACTCTGGAACAATTGTAAACAGTATACACGTAATAATTTAAAAATCAAATTAAACTATGTTTCGGAAATGTCTTATATTAAGAGAGCGTGATACCCGCATGTGTTGTCTCCGTCTTACAAGTGCATTATATAATAAATTTTACGTTCAGCAGAACATGTGTAGCTCCGTTAGCTAAAAAATTATAGTGAACTGACCTCTTATAAAATTTAAAGGTAAGATTATTATCTAGACAACCTCATATGCTTTTTATTATATTTAAATTTTAAAGCAAGTTATGAGTATTTTAAGATACCACAAAAAATTTACAATTTTAAAGCTAAGGGAGCTACACGTGTTCTGCTGTACGTAAAATTTACTATATAAAGCAGACGGAGACAACACATGCGGGTATCACGTCCTCTTAACAAACTGGTATTATAGTCCAATATGCTACCTACACTCTGATTTACGGTCCAATACATGATCTACATCATAAATTTAAAATACAGTTAAATTTAATTAACCTTTAAATTAATTTAATATGGTATCGGCCAAAAGTCATCAAAACTGTTAGCATTTTTACACGATCTCCACCACTCTTCTTGGAGTTGTCTATCCAGTAAAGAAGACGCTCCATTTTTTTTCTATATTGTATTTGGATTTTTCAATTCTCCAAAGACCTTCAGTTTATTAAGTGTATGCTCCTGTTTGTAGATCAATGAAAAATTCTGAGTGGTTAACCGTTAGATGATGAATATATCCATGACGATTTAATGTTGAGTACACTCTCCATTGGTCACTATAAATTGTCGTTCCAGTTTTTATTTCATTTTTAATAATTTGTAAAAGAGTTTCTCGGTCCCGTTTTTCTACTATAAAAAATCGCCGTTCTAATAATAAGTCTGGCCGTTTCCAACAAATTCCAAACATCCATGAACCTTATTGTATACGATTTTCGTAATTTTTGTTTGTTTGAAGGTACTATTTTAATGATTGTAAGTAGTAGTGAACAAAAAATAGTAAAATTTTCCATAATTACAATAATTGTAATTATTACCGTGATAAAGAAATCCGTAGGTCAATACAATCTTAACAGTAGATCCAATAACATTTATAACATTTTTAGGTCGCGTATTGGACCATTACCCTTAGATTGACAAACTGTTTCCGCTCTGAATCGTTTTTCGTATACAATGATATTATATCATTGAATTCAAATTTAATATCATTCATTACAGACTTACAGTAACCACTT